AAAATAATATCAGGAAGTATTACTTTACTGAGAGGGTAGTGGATGCATGGCATAGCCTTCCAGCTGAAGTGGTTGAGGTTAACACAGTGAATTAGTTTAAGTATGCGTGGCATAGGCATCGGGCTATCCTAACTATAAAAAGTATTTCAAAATATTGGGCAGACTAGATGGGCCGAATGGTTCTTATCTGCCGTCACATTCTATGTTTCTATGTAAATATAATGATTTCAGATTTACCTTCTCATAAAAATTATCTAAAAGGCCAGGTTATCAACGTGCAGATTTCTATTATCCACACAGTTTAAAATGCAATGTATAAATCATTATGTGTGGGTTTTAGTTCACAACTTAAAATAACAGCTGTACAAAAATTTTGAGCCAATATGCAGACATCTAGCAAGCATTCTGTCAGCAAAACATATTTTGACCTACAGCTGAATGCAAGGGTCGCCCTTGTGTGAAGAACACATATTCATGTTTAGCTAATAAAAGTGAGTTTTGCAGATTTGCAGGTTTTTACACAGAAATGCAGAGTGGCATATTTGAAGACTCTGCAAGGTTCCAACAATACTATGTTGTTGCTATTTTAAAGTATAGGACTGTGATGTCACCCAACCAGCAGAGAACTGTCAGGACCCCATAGTATCTGATGTAACCTATGCACTTTAGTGAGTGATGGCTTTTCTCTATATGACATTGAGGCTGATAGAGTGAGACAATATGACAGAAGAAGATACGAAACGGCTAAATAGGTAAGATTTTTTCTATGCTATGGGCAACTTATCCATTTTTTTTCCACAAGAAATGCAAAACATTTTCACCATCAGCTGTCTAGTGAAAGCCGCTATTCAGTTCGACAGATTTCTATTTTGTGGAAAGTTTCCCTAACCCAGTGGTTTATATTTTCCTCAGTGCAGTTAAAATAAACACATGAGCCTGATGAATATAATGGTTCTGTTTCACCCATTCTGGATCAAATAACGCAGCACAAGGGTTCAATTTTGGGCCCTGACCCAATAGTCAATAGCCTGTTCTCTTAGTAGAAAGTAGATTTTAGCATTCTTTAGAAAAGGCTCAAAACACTCAACACTTAAAAAAACAAACTGTCAGCTACGATGTTTGTACACATTAGCATACACAATAATAAATATATAATGTAGTTTAAATTTCTTGTTAGCAATGACAGTTTTTCACTAAAGTGTAAATTCTTGGGAGTTCAAAATATATTGGAAATTAAAGGGACACTATGGGCACCCAGACCACTTCAACTCATTATCCCTGTCAGTTTAATGATGCAATTATAATTATTCTAGTTCACTTCATTCCTTACATTGGAGGGTTAACTCCACCACTAGTGGCTGTCAGCCAGACAGCCACTAGAGGTGTTCCCGATACGTTAGGTGACTTTTGGTCACATAACTGATGCTGGACGTCTTCATGTTTTCTTCAATGCTTTCCTATGGGGTTGTGTTAATGCGAGCGCAGTGCTTGATGTGCATGTACATTAGGTCTCCAACGTCGGCTGATGTCGGGGAAGGAGAAGTGGGAGGCGGAATCAGGTAAGTGACAGACGGTTTTTAACCCTTTCTGCACTGTGAGGGAGAAACGTGTGAGCGAGGGGGGCACTATAGGGTATTTTTTTGTATTCCTAGCCTATAGTTTCCCTTTAATTTTAAAATTTTAAGCAAATATAGGGTTACATTTGAATTTTTTTTTTTGTTTGGCTAAATTAGTAAATCTCTAACAGTGTGCTTTTGCTGTAATGCATGATGGCAGACAAGCTAAAAATGGTGCTTGTCACCACAGTGGGTAAGCAACCATCTCTGCTGACCAGCCAAACAGGGGCAATGCACTAGAAACAGAAAATAATTTCAGATAGGGTCTATCTGTCAGATCTGGATATGCTGGGCATATGATACCGAGATTTTGTAATTCATTATATCTGGGAATGATCACATATGAATATATACTGGAAAAAAAAAAAGAAATACAGCGTAGCTGACTATAATTTTGAAATAAGTAAATACCATTGCTTTATTTTAAAGCTGCAGTTTGAAAATATCTATTAAATACACCACTTTTGCATGCAACTGTAGCATTCTAAGCATCATCTCAATTGTATTAAAAAAAAAAAAATAATTACTTGACCACGTCAGATTTTTTTCCCAACTATATTTTCTATGGGTTAGATTAATTAAATCTTTCACAGCGCTATAAATAGGTGAAACAAGACAAACAAGTCTAACTTATCCCATTTGACATGTGGGGACAGTAGATGAAGAGGGTCCTGCCCAAATGAGCTTACCATCTGAAAGATGTGACATGATGTGGGTAATAAAGTGGCTACATTCTATTGTTGCCATATCAGCAAAAACAACAAAATTATTATTTGCCTTTATTTGCAGTGTTAAAAATAAAGGGGTTCAATAGAGGGAAAATGTGCTATAATTCTCAGTGGGAAGAAGATTTGGGTGGCGGAGGAGGGCTAAAGGACCCGTTTGCTGTGATGAAGATAACTGTTTGTATAACTATGAACAAATGTACTTTTAAGTGCATGTCACGATGATACCTTCACTTTTACAAAATGTATCCCTTTCATTCACTACTTTGTAACAAAGACTGTGGTGAGGTTGGTTGTGTACTCAGACTTGTACATGGGATCTGCACTGCTACACGCATCTGCATTGCGAAACACTTAAAATCTATGTTACCTACTTATAAACCACTAATCTGTAAGATTTCCTACGTCAGGTCCATGGAAGACCTCATTGATAGACTAAGAGGCTCAACTCTAAACTATAACCAAATATGGCTTCCCTGTCTTGTGTCCCCTGTTGAAGGCCTCGCCTGCCGACCATTGTGTTGTCTATCGATTTCCTTCCTCGCTTTTTTATCCTCTTCTCCTCTTTTTCTTTACTTTAACCACCCTTTACTGATGTGTTATTTTTTTTTTACTGAGATCCTATATTCAGTAACTCTCCTACTTATATATAAAAAATTACATTCAGTAGTCTAGATCCCTTATGTTATAGTCATGCTTCCATAGAATCTATTGATCTAAAAAAAATTTCAATAATTTTTGACTATGATTCAGCTCTTTGCTAACTTGTAATTGTGTTCACTTTAATACTTGACTCTGTTACCTTAAATTAATATTTATTTTGCGAAATGCCAATGTTACACTTCTCCATGAAATTTGATTCCTATCTGACCCTTAAAGAGACCCTCTAGTCACCAATACAACTTTAGCTTAATGAAGCATGTTTGGTGTAAAGATCATGCCTCGGATGTTTCACTGCACACTATTTACTATTCACTATTGTTCCTGCACTATATATTCAATATTGTTCCTCTTTCTGCAGCCCTAGTCATACCTCCCCTGGCTCTGACTGAGGCAGCCTTCAAGAAACAAAAATTATTTAGTTTTCGATAAGATGTAACTTACTGTAAACGTTTTTATCTGCTGCTCTGTAAATTGAACTTTACTTACATACAGGAGGCTCCTGCAGGGTCTATCAAGATATTAACAGAGAAGGACATAAGGAATTCTAAATTAAACAGAATTTGCAAAACATAAAGTGTAAACATTAGATGACTCTTTAAAGGAAGTTTTTAAGAAGGCTGTGTAAGTCACATGCAGGGAGGTTGTGACTAGACTGCATAAACAATGTGATTTAACTTCAAAATAGCAGACAATTTAGCAGTGAGACTGCAGGGACATGATCTATACACAAAAACTCCTTTATTAAGCTAAAGTTGTTTTGGTGACTATAGTGTCCTTTTAATAAAAAATCTTTTGGGAAAAAATATTGAAAACATAATTAATTTCCATATCACTTCTTTGTATAGTCTGTAAAATTACTGATATGAATTTTCTACATAATTATTTTCTTGCTATTGTCGTTTATTTCCAGTAAGGCAAATATATTTTCTTTTTAACTGCTAATTCACTCTTCCATATATGTATTTTATAAAAATAAATCTAGCTGGTGCAATGAAAGATAATTTAGGTTCTTAAAAAAAAATATTAAGTATATGGTCATTTTGAAATAAAAAGTAAATATATATGTAAAAATATAAACATGTATTATTGGTATTAATATATAATGCTACATACATTTATACTTATGCAATATCTATTTTATATTCAGTGGCTATTTTCAAAAACGTTTGGATAATTGATCTTTGCCATGATGGTATACGATTAAATAAACTTTTGGCTTGATAGTAGTTAAATACATTCTATTTTGGTTATTTTTATTTAAAAAAAGACTCAAACAATCTTCACCATTTATTTAAAAAAATCTAATTTTATACACCGTTGTAACAAGGACAAATTCTCTCAATTAAAAAAAAAAAAGTGAAGTGAAATGCATATCAGATTTCAATATCTCTTCATATGAGATTGATAAATAATTAATTTCATATTTAAGATATGTGATATTTGATAAGTGTAATTGACCTTTACTGTATTTTAGACAACCTCAGACTATGATTAAAATAAATTAAAGCACAGTTCATTGGGTTTGGTCTTTCAGAAAAAGAAATGATAAACTATTCCTCAAAATGAATTGTATTAAAATATAATTTAGAGCATCGATGTGCAAACTGGCAGCAGACCAAATACGCTGACGAGGGTTTTTGTATTACCCTGTACTATCTGTAAAATCCCCAATTTATTACTGTGTCACATCACTGATTTTATGGTGTCCCTGTGTTTTATTGCAGTATACTGCTTTAGACCAATCATTGTTAACCTTTGCATTTTTATAAGAAATGTTGTCCATGAAGATCAGGATAAATCTGTAACACAATGGTCCCATATAACAGCTTTTAAAGGGTAGCCGGGGCAACATGATTTTTTGCACAAAATAAAGGTTTGGTGTGTGTTGTGCAATTTGTTTTATATAACCAACTTATTTTGTTAACATGGTATGTCTGGCTGTCTTGGGAAAACAATTGCATGGATTGTAAATGATTCTAATCCCCATGGTGATGTATGCACATACACTTTAAGGGTTCATACAGGATACACCACCATGGTTGGAATGCTCAAGCTCCATGTAGTTGTGTAGCATTTTCCAAAGAGATACCAGTGCGAGAAAGAGTATGCTTAGCGCAATTATTATTATTATTGCCATTCATATAACGTCAACAGATTCCGTATCGCTTTACAATATTATAAGAGGGGGGATTTTGGAATGACATTGCTTTGGACACGAAAGTACTGTTGAGCCAAGTATGGTTTCAACAATACTTACTGAGGTGAGGATCCTTATTCTTGAGAAATGACATTTCCTTTTAAATAGATACTCCAAGCACCAAAACGATTTTAGTTTAATGAAGCAGTTTTAGTGTATAGAGCATGCCCTGAAGTCTTACCGATCAATTCTCTGCCATTTAATAGTTAAATCCCTTTTGTGTCTGTTTACACAGTCTTAACCACACCTCCACTGGCTGTGATTCACATAGCCTGACTTAAAAAAAAAACTTTATCAATCAGGTCCAACAGCACAGTGTGTTTACTTTAGAAGTTTTTCTCTTCCACTCCCACTCTGTTAATTAAACTTTAAACACACACACCCTTCTAGTCATTTTGAAACATTTTTATATATAGTGAGGCATGTACTAACCAATGAAAGAAAATACACATTTTAACAGATAATTACATACTTGCATATGAGTAATTTCTAAAGCACATAGAGAGATGTTAATGAATTTCATATTTGCACAAATAGAGAAGTAAAATTTCAGCATTTTGGCTGATCCCATGCTAAATGTTCATTTATTCTTTTAACTGATCATTTTTTGACAGTGTTTCCAGGATAGCACTATTATATTCACTTTAATATTTTGGCAGTTAAAACACAAATAAGAAAAATAAGAGAATTATCATATTTGCTACTTTTCCACACACAGTAAATTTTTTACAATACTATAAAAAAAATGTAATTGCTCCTGGTTAGCACATTCCTCCAAATCTCCTTATTCTGTTTAGAAAGAAAGCCATTTGAGAAAATATAGTGAGATTGAGACAACATTGTTTACATGTTAAATAGCATAATATAAATTTACTGTGCTTATTCGAGTATTGTATGTATTTTCTAGTTGTACACATAATTTGCTGTTTCTTTTCATATAATTCTTATAAATATATCACTGGCTAATAAAAACAATCCTACAAACGATCTATAAAAATAGAATAAGAGTTTTAGCTATTATCACTGTATAGCTTTTGCTTAAGACATAACATTGCTAAGTCATCTGTCATTTGCCTATTAAGAAGTAGAAAAGTATGTTGCGTTACTTTATCTTGTGAGATGTTATGACAGTACCATTTAAAATGGTCCAATATTCACCAAATGTAGTACAGCTATACCCTATATTTCAGATTGCAAAACCTGTACCCGTTTATTATAACACTGACTGTACATGTAGAAATATAATAATATCGAAAGTAAACAGTAGGTAACATAGATGTTTCCATTATTTATGAATAAACAAATTCTGAATTTTGTAACTAACTTTTATCCAGCTTTGATTTGTCTACTTATGGATGTTTTTTTCTTATACTAAACAATAGCAGTACCAACAGTAAACTCAAACTGAAAAAAAAAAAATCACTTCTGCTCCTGTGAATTCAGGTTATAAAAGAAACCACAGAATTTAGTGTTGCCGATGTGAGAAGATCCACATAACTGTAAGAATTCACAAAGAAGAATTGAAAACAAGTTTCTTTTGTTCCCATACCTTGCAGATGCCCCCAGGTATCTACCTAATGTGAGATTTGGCCCTGGTGACAGCATAGCTACACGACATGCTCTATTAAATTTTGTTTCCAAGCAGGATCTCTACGGAAGGCAATCATCGGATGTGACCAGCTCAATCAACAAATGCCTCAAGAAAATATTTAATGTAACAATCATTGGAATGTTAGTTGAACCGTGTACTTCATACTCTTCAGTATGCAATGAGCACCTTGAAAATATCTGTCAATCCACTGATTTATTTTAAAATAAATTACTGTGATGTATACTGGCTATTTGAATAACCAAGTACGTTAACATACTATAAAGTTTTTTTCAGAGTTAACAAGTGATGCTAACGTTTAGGGATAACATCGGGAAATGGAATTATATTTATGGTATTCATCATGGAACCTATAAATATTTTTGCTTTTTTTTTATACTAATAAACTCTCAAAGGAAAACTGATGTAATTTTTTATTATTAGTGAAAAATATAGAAACTTATTCACACTTATTGTCATTTTCTTTGCCTGTATATTTTCAGTGGCATTATCGCCATTAGAGTTTGCTCCTCCCATCAGTTGCAAGGACGGAATTATCTAAAACCTAATGAATTAGTTATTTTATAAGTTACCCTCTACTCGTAGCGTTCCCCGGACTATTAAAAAGCTAAAAATCCCCAGATGGAAGGGAGAGTGATGTTGCCATGGAAAATAGTCAGGAAAAGAAAATTATGATCAGTAGAAAAAAAATCTATTTTCCTGGGTAACCATGGCATCATTACCATTGGGCAATATCCAAGCTAAAAAAAAAGGCTGGGAAACATGATTTACTGCAAAAAATTTCATTTATTTATGAACCAGTTAGAATGTTTCTATCAAAGGAGAATTCTGAGGAAGTCTGTGAAAGTGTGCAAAGATCTACAAAGAAGTCCAAGTGGCTGCTGTACAAATATCCCCATCTGGTTGAAAGAATGCCCTATCCTGTATTAAGGATAAGGCCAAAAGTTCAGCTATGTTCTTAGTGTTATTGGTGGAGCTGATGCCATATTCACAGTAATAATTGCTGTTTGAAACATTGTCTTGAGTGTGAGCTTTCAATATAATCCAAATAGCTAACATGTATGTTTAGGGATTTAACCTAATGTTAAAAAATGTTGCATCAAGCAAGAGGCTTGAAAAGTGTTTTCAGGACCAGTGGCAGCCATTAATCATTAGGGTTGGAAACCAGTCAAGAACTTGTCACTAATTATTGGTTAGCACCTCCCATAGAGAATATTGGATGCCGTTAGCCACTACTAAACTAAACAGTGATTGTTTTCAAGTAGAGTCATCCAGTTTCCTCATATAAGATGTAAGACTTACTTGTATCTTGGAGAACAATGTTGGTGCCTGGCTAAACCCAAACAGTAGACCTCAGAATTGGTAGTGCTTCCCAAAGACAACAAAAATCTCAGGAACTGGGAACACTGTGGAATATTTGGCACATGATAATATCTGTCCCTGAGATATGCTGATGAATAGCCACAATAATGGATGCCATGGACTCCATCTTGAAGTTTTTTTATACTAGGAATTGTTTTGCTTCACTTGAGGTCCAGAATTAAGCTCAATTTTCCCTGGGGGTATGGCATATTTCTGAAAGATTTCCATGTTCCTCTGGTTCCTCTTCCTCTCCATCTAAAGGTTAAAGAGGACTGTCCTGATGACCATAGATTTAGTGTGGAAAATGCCTTCCCCGCAAGATATACATTTTTGATCTGTCTCAAAAACCTTTGTCTCCAGGATTACACATTCTTTCATTTTCTTTCCTGAAATAGAAACACCTTCTTTTCATTCTCCATTTTCATTATGGCCTCATCTAAAACTTCACCAAAAAATAAGTCTTCCTGGAAAGTCATCTTTTTGGTTATCTTTTTGTAGCCACAGGACCCTTCTGACAAAGCCATTTCTCTTGAAAAGATCCTGGAGAGATCAAGTTCTGCAAATTACTTAATAGCAAGTTTGATATTTTTTTTTTAATGGTTTCTGCTAATCATGCTTTTTTTCACTCCTTCAACAATGTCCTTCTTCAGGTTTGGGTTCCATATTATTAGTACCCTGGAAAGAAAAGAGAGGCCAGAGCAAATGCTGGATGAAGTTTAGGGTAGGATCAGCCATTACGTGGCTTTAGGCAGATGCTTAGGGCCTGGGGGGGGTTATACAATTTCTTGGATCTATTCACTATCTCTAGGTGGGCCCAAACTGGTAACCTGCCTAAGTCTTAACCCTTCTCTGCTGAAGTCCAACATGTGTAGCTATGTAAGCCTTGCTTAAGTTATTATCTAGTCCCTTTGATATAGGCTCGCTGAGCAAAATGACACAATCTATAGGTAGAGCAATCTATTTGACCATCTAAAAAGCAGCAGCATCCACCTTCAGTGTGGAGACCCAAGGCTTGGTTTCTTTATTATAAAAAAAGGGGCTCTCACTTGTTGTCTTCCCCATACTGATACTCTCTTTTCAGATTTTGACCACTCTTCTAAGATAGGATCCTTTGTATTGTCATGTGAAGGAAAAGATGACCTATTTTACTTAAGGTCTTCAGAAATATATCAAAAGCTGAATTAAAGCAACTAGGTCTAAAAAATCTGAGTACTCACTCTCTGAAACTTAAAAATCCCAGCAATGAGTTTAATCATACTATATAGGTATTTAATGCATCCTTTGAAGATGGAATCTCTTTACTCAGCAGACCCTACATCTTATTATTTCATCCTGTTACATCTATTTAAGCAGCCTGTGTACTACATCCCTCAAGAACAACGGGCCTAAATATTCTATGCCATCTGTCTTTATAGCTGAGGCTTCTTGATAAAGGGTCGTATTTGAGCACAAATGTTGTAAGAAATTGATATTCCAAACTGCAATATTGTATATAACTTTCTGTGTATGTTACTGGTTTCACAAGTTGGGGTCATTTACTTGATAAAAGTGTGATAAGGATCAAAGCTTTCAGTTGCATTTTACAACACCCAGCTAAAACAAAAGCTTACATCCCTCCAGTATTCCTTGCATGTTATCAGGAGATCAGAGTAACAGACATCTAGGTGTAACCATGGAAGTGTGTGTTTTCCCAAGCAGTCTAACCCACCCAGAAACCAACCCTAACTGGTCACTTCTTTCAGAACATTACAGTATAGCTGGAGGGAAGAGATCAAAGGGAAATACTTGTGTAAAGACAGAACTCTCTGGAGAAAGAGGGCGGGATAAACCACTTTTGGGAGGGAAAAGGGATTCTGGGACTTGTAGTTTATTACTCCAAGAATCAGTCTTTAAAAGGACAACAACCAAGGAAGGCTCTCTCTCTTTCTCTCTCTCTTTGGAGAGGACAACGCAGCAAGCAGGGCCATGGTGAACTAAGAGAGGCTGTCCCAGATTACCCAAGATGAAGGCGCAAGGGGAAGACCTGCATTTAAATGTTTAAGTATTGCCTTTTTATTATGTAGCTTTTGATTATGTACCGGATATAATGTATAATGTATATTGTGTATATCCTTTTAAAATCTAACAGTATCCTTAAATGAATATTTACAATACATTTTATTATACACTTGTGTTTATGTCTTATTTGTCACACATTCCCTAAAAGAATATCCTTGTAAGAGGGTCATAATTTCTTACAAATTGGCGAGCCGAGGTAGGAGGGATTTAGTGTGATTTATGAGCATATTCATAATTGTATAGATTGTATATTTACTTTTGGATACTGTTCAGATATTGTGTATAGATATTTCAGTGAATTGTGCGTTGTCAATGATGGAGAGTTTATTGAAAAAGATTGCTAAGGTGTCTAATCCAGAAGCAATAATTAAATGTATGGATGGTGCATTAGATCCGTGGCTTAATGCTCAGGATTATGTGGCCAGGGCAATTATTGAAAAGAAATTGTCAAAATCTAGTGGTAAAATTGCTTTGATTTATGCTGCCCGTTGGATTGCGGAGAAGTATAAATCTTTAAATAGGCAAAAAGAGAAATTAGAGGCAGACATTTTGAGTTTAAAGAATGAAGTGGAAGGTTTTAAACGGTCTGCGCAAAATGCTGCTGCTTTGTGTGTAGGTAGTCAGCAAATGCGTCTTGAAAATGAGGAATTGCGCAGTCATAATGAGCAGCTTGTAGAAAGGCTGAAGGATGCAGAGGGTGCTATTAGGATCCTTGCATCCAGCAGCCAGAAAGAGGCTGATCATTCAGATTGCATGTATCAAATTAATTTATTGAAATCCCAATTACAAAATAGAAATGCTGTTGTACCTGCATGCAATGCTGCAGAACCCAATACAAATGTTGTACATAACATAGAGTGTGGTGTTTTTGCAGATGTTTATGGTATTTGTGAGCGCAGTATTCCTGCTAAAATGGCACCAGTCTCTACAGAGCACATGGTGGATGCACAGGGAAATGTACTACATAAAACTACTGTGACCCATTCCTTAAAACATACAGAGGTTATTGCACTGAGCAAAGAACTGGGATGTATAAGCTTGGATGATGATCCAGTAGATGTTATGTTAAAAATTGATCAATTTGAAAAAATCCACAGAAACTTAAATGAATTGGATATTTTTGATGTTATAATTGCTAGTACAGACCAGTCACTAAGAGTAAGTCTGCCACATGAGATATTTATAGAACCTAGAACCAAGCAACAACTTATCAAAGAGTTATTAAACACACTTGGTCTAGAGGAAGTAAATCATCATTTTGCTTTTGGTAATTGTGCTCAGAAGAGAAGGGAGTCTGTTCAAGGGTTTGTAAATAGGTTATTTGTTTTATTCAAACTGACTGTTCCACCTGGAGCACATGCTGATCACAATGAATATGCATATAAGAAAGCATTACTTAATAGGACACTGCCAGATATTCGAGAGTTAATTGGTTTAACTATGTCCCCACAAGACACCTTTGTAAATATACTGAATTGCTTAAAAAGGGCTGAAGCAATTTTACTAAATCAAGAAAAAGTAAATAAAAGACAAGTGTCATTGATACAAAGTCCCCAACCTCACAGATATATCAATCAGAGAAAGTCCCCACATATAAAATCCATTACATGTTTTAAGTGTGGTAGGATGGGACATATTGAAAAATTTTGTAAATCAGATGTGCATATTCATCATGAAAGGCCCATGTGTGATAGATGGACTCTGGGAAATAAAAATAATCACCCTAGGTGGAGATCACAGAGAAAAGATAATAATGGTATCCCCCTCACAAGACCTTGGATTCCCTACCATGTGCTTAAAGCACAGAATAGACAACTAAAGGCAGAAAATCTTTCTCTAACATGTGAACGAAATGAGTTCCTTGAAAAACTGGATTGTCTCAAGGCACAATTAAGTACATTAGAGGATATGGTTAACACAAAGAATCTGATAACAGATACAGTTTTTCTTGAATGACCTATTCTAGTTGTGTGTTATTAACTTTCTCTTGAAGTTTGTTTTTTTTAGAAAACTACGGAGATGATGCCAATTGAGAAGGAAGACATCTGTGAGAAGACCAACCATTTAACATGTTTATTTATTTCAGGAAAAATACAGTTCCAGTATAGAGGACCTTAATATGTAGTTTTATATTATTTTTTTCATATTAAGGATAAGCCTCTAAACTCATTCATTACAGTCAGGTGGTCCAAATTCCAAATTATTTTTGTTTTTATTAGTTTAGCACACCTGCACTTCCAGCTATGTTTTATTTTTGTATTTTGATACTGGATTACTAATTTTATATATTTCTAGATTAGATGAATTGTTGCCAAGGTGAGGCTTATACGTTGATCACACTGGAGAGATGTGATAGTGTAACTGTCTGTTGGTTTACAACAGTAAATATTTTAGTTTTTGTCTTTTTTTCATTTGGTTACCAACATAACTAGCCTCAAGCCGATTTTTTATTTTAATCTTTGAAAGGCAACAGACCATTGTCAGTTTTCTTTAGATTGCACGCTGCCAAACTTTGTATACAGTTCAATGACTGAAGGTAATGGTAGCATTCAATCTACTTTTTTCTCTCTCCATCTTCTTTGATTTTGTTGTTTTCTAATGCTTTTTATTGTATTTCACACTCTAAAGGGAATATAGGGAAAACAGATAATTGCATATATTTTACATTTCCTTGGGTCAAGGTTGGGTGAACAATAGAATTATAATGGTTATTCTTTGTTTGTTTTTGTTTTAATTTATACTCTCAAGGTGGGGTATTGCGTATAGACAAATTAGACCAGTTTGTATAATTTATATTGTTTTGAGTCAAGGTGGGGTGAGCGACAATATATGATTTTGCATTTTCTATTTGCTCTATTTGGTTTTCCACAAGGGGTTAAATATTTATGGTTTTAGTAAGGTTATAGTAAATTATTTCATACTGTTATGAGGACGTATCCCTTAGTACACATTAATATTGGTTGCATTTTGCTCACATTTGTGTTTACAATGTTTTAGATGACCACTTGTGAATCCAGACGGTAATACTGAGACAAGGATGATAATCAAACTACTAGTGATTTGCATAATGTAACACTGCGCACTTTCTGTGCTAAGAATCTTTTAATTTCCGGAAGCCAAGGGCCTATCGAAAACTTATTAAACATCCTCAAGGGCTCAAACACAAACCCACTCCAGCTATACAACTTTTAATAAACTCCCAATAAACGTGCACAAACACCTTCACTCAGATCCCCACTCCAAACAATAAACTATGTTTCTCCCTTGTGTGGTCTCTTTAATACACTATGTAAGTGAACAGCAAATTAACTGCTGTTGGTGTGAAAATACACCAGGTGTCATGGTGGGCAGAGGTCAGAGGCCTAATAGCCCAAAGTAAGCACGGCCAGGGTTAAAGGAACAGTGTGGTGGAAGCAGTGCTGGTGGCACAGGTAACTGAGCGTGATGGGAGTGAAATCTAATGGTTGCAGTGATGCTGAGCCTATGAGGGTAAGGAAAGGTTACGGATATGGCTGAAGGAGTTCAAATTAATGGTGAAAAATGATAACTAAGTGCCTCAATGATTCGGCTAAATTATGCCTTGCAGTACCCTAAATTATAAATATATGTGGTTGTCAAGTCATTTGTGTCTCAGTAAAACACATAATCATTTAAAACACACATAATTCAAATACTGTATTTCTTTGAGAGGGCTCATTTTCTTGTTGAGTCATTCGCCCTCTAGGTGGGGACTGTAAGAAATTGATATTCCAAACTGCAATATTGTATATAACTTTCTGTGTATGTTACTGGTTTCACAAGTTGGGGTCATTTACTTGATAAAAGTGTGATAAGGATCAAAGCTTTCAGTTGCATTTTACAACACCCAGCTAAAACAAAAGCTTACATCCCTCCAGTATTCCTTGCATGTTATCAGGAGATCAGAGTAACAGACATCTAGGTGTAACCATGGAAGTGTGTGTTTTCCCAAGCAGTCTAACCCACCCAGAAACCAACCCTAACTGGTCACTTCTTTCAGAACATTACAGTATAGCTGGAGGGAAGAGATCAAAGGGAAATACTTGTGTAAAGACAGAACTCTCTGGAGAAAGAGGGCGGGATAAACCACTTTTGGGAGGGAAAAGGGATTCTGGGACTTGTAGTTTATTACTCCAAGAATCAGTCTTTAAAAGGACAACAACCAAGGAAGGCTCTCTCTCTCTTTCTCTCTCTCTTTGGAGAGGACAACGCAGCAAGCAGGGCCATGGTGAACTAAGAGAGGCTGTCCCAGATTACCCAAGATGAAGGCGCAAGGGGAAGACCTGCATTTAAATGTTTAAGTATTGCCTTTTTATTATGTAGCTTTTGATTATGTACCGGATATAATGTATAATGTATATTGTGTATATCCTTTTAAAA